GGGGGGGGGGGGGGGTTAAAATTATCTACGGAGAGCAGCCAACCGCAGAGGAAATGCTTGCGATCGAAGAGGTGATTCCGATATCTGCACTTGCAACGACAAAGGGGCCAAGTTCGGCCACAAAGAAAGAAGATTAATAGCAATTACCGACACCAGCTCCAATCCAACCGGAGAAGCAGGGGACTGATAAAAATGATGACTATGGGTTCCCAGGTCTTTCAAAGCCCTCGATGATTTTAACGCCACCAAATCGACGGTCGAGGAGCTGGAACAAGTCATATTGATCGAATATCTACCCCATCGAAAGGTATACCTGGGCACGGGTTTAAGTCCCGAGCTCAGGAAAAAACTCATTCAATTCCTTATAGCTAACATAGATTGTTTCGCTTTGTCCCACCTTGATATGACAAGGATCCCGCCGGAGATAACCACTCACAAGTTGAGCCTGGACCTGAAATTTCGCCTGGCCAAGTAGAAGAGGAGACCTTAGTCCGAAGTCAAACATGCTTTCATCAAGGACGAGGTATCTAAACTCCTTAAAATAGAGTCCCTTCAGGAGGTTAAATACCCGGATTAGTTAGCAAACGTAGTGGTAGTCCCTAAAAAGGGGAACAAAATAAGAATGTGTGTACACTATAAGGATTTGAATAAGGCATGTCCCAAGGACTTCTTCCCTTTTCCCAACATCGATCGCATGATCGATGCCACGGCCGGCCACGAGATCCTCAGTTTTCTCGATGCCTCCTCCGGGTACAACCAAATACGGATAAACCCGGATGATCAGGAGAAAACCTCATACATCACTAAATACGGCACATATTGTTGTAACGTGATGATGTTTGGACTAAAATACACCAGTGCTACTTATCAACACCTAGTAAACTAGATGTTTGAGGAACAAATAGGAAAATCAATGGAGGTTTATATTGACGATATGTTGGTTAAGTCCCTGCGAGAAGAGGACCATTTAAAACATTTGCATGAAACCTTCAGCATATTGAAGAAGTATAATATGAAGTTGAACCAACATAAATGTGCGTTTGGAATCAGATCTGGTAAGTTCCTCGGATTCATGGTATCCAACCAAGGAATCGAGATC